TGTTTCAAACTGATCCGCCTGATAGGAGCGAAAGGCAGCTTTGCGCTGCCCTTCCAACGCATGCTTCTCCTGGTGCACAAGGGCGCGCGGGTCACTGGCCTAGGCTCGGGAGCCTAGAAATAAGGCTAGGCCAGGTTCGAACTTCTATTGAAAATCGCAAGAGGGATGGAGGTGTCTTGATAGTTTGTCACGCAAGTGAGCTCTATGATTTGCTGTTGCCGCACGGATATGTTGGTTCATGTCAGTTTCACTGGCTGCTTTGATCCGACTGTTTGTTAGACTCAAAGATACGAACACTCACCAATGTCCGTGGGATTCTTGAAGCACCAAGATAAATCTTTGATTGGCACAGGACACAAACACGTTCTCGGCAAGGTCATCACAGCAGATTCGCAGGTTCTCAGTCTTTGCACCGTGACAAGTCCTGGCAGCTTGCGCTGATTGCCATGGATTGAACCAGATCAGCTTACATTAGATATCAGCTGGAAGTGACCTCTATGTATCTTAGCTTTTCTTAAGTTTGCCCTTTTTATTTGTTGAATTTTGTAGCCGGGTTCTGGAAGACAAAGACGTACTCCTGGCACGTACCGGCCATGCTTGTCCCATCTCCATACCACGTTAGCACCTGATCATGCACTCTGTTGGTTGTTAAATTGAAAGTCTGGGAAGAATAAGCGTTGTTTGATCAAGTGGCATAGTGTCAGCAGCGTTCCCGCAAATAGTATGAGTGACAAACCTATACATGTGCCCACTCAGATGGCAGAAGAGGGGGGACGAAGGGTTATTTCGATTTTGTCCAACTATCATTCTCGGCAACTCAGAACTCACATAGCCAACTTATTGAACGTGTTGTCTTTGTGTTCGGGTGAGTTGAAGCCGAGGGTAGACTGACAGACCATCCGAGCTATTCTTCCCTTGGTAAGTGAGCGCGGACACGCACATATATACTGCGGTCCTTACCGCCTTCACTTCCGGAATTTACTCTGTTCTGGCTCCGATTCCATTTAGGGAGTTGGGCATTTGGACTTTTGAACTTCGGCATGTGAAAGCACCGTTTGGGTTGAGCAGGCAAATGTCCCAGTGCAAAGCCAAGCATTTGCTGGTCTGAAAGGAAAAGTGGTCCCAGTCAATAGTCCTTGTCATATGCGAACGTCATTGGGTGCACTTACTAATTTGCCACCCATTGAATTGAGGCTTCACCCAAATGATTCTATCTATACCAGTCGCTTGTGCCTGTGTGTGGCGCTTGGCTTCCAGTGAACTCACCTGGGCGTTGAAGGTTGCTTGCCAAAAAATATGGAATCCTGGGGCTGCAGAGTGGGTCCCTTTTCACCCAACCCTAGCTTTCCATAGTGAGATGTGAAGAACATAGACAGGATCCAAAAGGCGATTTAGATACATTCACACCGATGGGACCGATTGGCTCGCACAAACATGCAGTGACCCATACCGCGTAGAACCAATCCCATTGAGCTGTCATTGAGCTCAGGGATCTCTTGTGTTTGCACAGATAGGAGATGCCAGGGGGATAGCAGGATATTTGGCCGGTTTGCTTCTCTGTCAACCTATATTTTCCCGTCAAATAAAGCTCTGCTGGTCGACGCTGAATTCTGGCTTACTCACTGGCTGATGTTGCAGGCGTCGACATGTGCGAGATTTGCTGTTCGCAAGCAGAGTGAATCGAAGAGAAGGGGAGAACCACCATGGTGTCAGCTTCCGGCTTTTTACTGCACAGCACAATCACTAGGTGAGCAGAGTCTCCTTGGTGCCGACCGAACAAAAATGGCAGGCAGAGGCCTCTTGAAGCCTGGGGACGTCTTCTTCCAGGAGGGTCCTATGGAGCTGACCCTGGAGGTGACGCTGGGCTGTGACGTTTTCAGGGTGGAACGCCAACAGAAGGGCTCAACATGTCCAGCTGCGTCGGAGAGGTGAGGAATGCTCATCAAGCCCTGGAAATGATGGCAATATAACGATGGTGCCGTTTGAATCCAGTGAACCATCATCATCCCCCAAACAAGAAACATCAAACGCGTCACAGGTGCCGGGTATGTTCTTTGTGCTGTCTACGAGACAACCTGTGTTGTTACCGCAGTTGCTTGCAAGTATGTGCCTTTGCACTGGCTTTCCTGGAGCACTCCAACAGATCTGTATTTGAGCAGTCTCGATTCTGTAGGAGTTTGCGTTTGAAGGGACCACCTTCCCCACGACCAGACAAGTGAGCGAGCCTTGGCAAACGGTGGGCGATCTCCGACAATTGCCTGCAAAGGATTGGTTTTGTGGCACAATTGCTCTGAGTGGGTGGGTTTCTCCATCAGTCTTCAAGCACAGATCTTTCAGGCATCCTGATTTTGAAGTAACCGTGGATTCGCGTGTCAGCATGGGCCAATTGGCGGCTGATTTGAGCTCTGAGGATCGGCAGTCGTCACGCCTTGTCCCTGTGGTTGGTGGAGCTCCTGTACTGAGTCGGTGTCAGACACGGCGCAGACAACGTCAGGAGAGTAAAAACAGCGCAGACGTTTTTTTCTTTTTTGCCAGGGCTAGCCAAAGGATTAGTCACAGTCGAAACCTTGCAGTGATCAGTTGAGGTCCTTGCACCCCTCCAACCAGGGGTAAATGAAACATTTTCGAGATCAAGATAATGTTCTGGTACTCCTCTCAGCTGCCTTTATAACATGGCTCCTTCCAGACTTCAAAATACGTAAGAAGCTTCCGAGAGAAGGCATATCCGTTTGGTTGTACTGGAGAATCTGGATGTTACATCAGAAGCTCTGCAGACGTCGGAAGCTCTCCGTGAGTGGAAGGCATTGCCGGGAGAGGCCAACACGCACATGCAGAGCCTAAGGCAACAACACACATCCACACGAAACCATCCTGAAACGTGGCTGTGCTTGATAGAGGAAGAGCCTTAGTTTACCAAGATACGTGTGTGTGTGTGTGTCGTGTTTGCCAGACTTGAAAGACCTGTTTGGATGTTTAATAAAACCAGCATGACATCAGCCATTCCGTGTTGGCGTTATTGACGCATGCCTTTGTAGCGGAACTGTATGAACACAGATTGCATTGTGGTGTTTCCTACTTCTCGATCAGTCCTTTCGTCTAGTAGTCTGTGCGTCGTTGTTGTTTAAGCGTTCACGATTGCATGCATCCGTGATTCTGCGTATTTAAGCATTGATCCTATAGCTGATTAGTCAATTTGTATTTCTTTTGTTCATGCCTTACTTCACTCATGTGTGATTCTGCCATTCAGCGGGACCCAAGCAACAGTGAATCCCAGCTGACCTGCCTCCTTTGTGAACCCTGAGGAGTTGTGTCAAATGCTGCTCGTGGCGGGCTGCTGAATTCGAAAGATTGTGGCACGCCAGACAGCGCAACACTCTGACTCTACACCTGGCAAGCAGAATTAGGTTTGCCTCAAAATAGGGGAACCTCATTAGTGGTTTCCTGTTGGTTTCCCTCTACACCACCCCCCTCAAAGACAGACGCAGCCACATCGGACCCAAAGCACCCCATTCGCAGTCTGAGGTCCATGAGCCGCAAGGCACATGGATGGACCTCAACCACCCCAACGCCGGGAGCCCCTGCCAGGGTTTAAGGCACCGAGGCTGGAAGGCGTCTTGCAGCTCAACAAACCAAACCCTTCCTTTGAACACCATCCTATATTATATCCGGTTTTGATTGTGGCAGTACAAGGTCTAAAACGCTGGCCTTTGGCTAACGCGCTAGGTGCAAGACAGTCACAGTCTCACCAAATGGCACCAGAGGGGGAGATTGCCCAACATGCTCAGCAAGCACTGGTTCTAAAATTCAGCCTGGCCACCCATACTGGTTCCTCCTGCAAATCTGATGGATAGGGCCAACTGTTCGGAGTGTGTTCCTGTTTCCTCATTTCGCGAGAGCCAAGCTACCCTCAGCCCTAACATCCACTGGCACAAGAACAACAAAACACAATCTGAACCGAGGGATCCCGAAGTAAGCGGCCTTGACCTTCATCCGGCGAGCTCGTGTTACCCTTGCTGGCCAAAATGAGTGCAGATTTACGAGTCACCGGACGCGTTGCTTTCTGGCGCAAAGCATTGGACCCTCCAATGCAGATGCTTGGGCCCTTGCTGCAGTTCCTTTGTGGGTGTCTCCGGATATTGATCCCGAATGGAAAGCGCGGGTTTGCTCAACTTCCCGATAAGGCAGTAGTAGCCCGCCTACTCAAAGAGCAATTGCTCTTTAATTTGTTCCTTGTTTCTTTTTCGGGTTCACAACAAGTCATAAATCGGTTTTGAACTGGGGTCTGTGCCATTCTGAGCCGGCAGTGGCCGCAGCCGCAGGGCAACATCAAGGTATGGTGTGTTTGAATGCCCCGGCAGTCTGTCACAATGGGAATGCATCAAGAAAGAAAGGAAGGCATTGTTTTGTGAGTCAAACAAATGCCCAAAGACAATGGTGAGGAGCCTTTGATTTTGCAGCATCGAGTCAACTGAGGCTCTTGCCAGGGTGTGCGTTGCCACAAAGCATGCTGGGCTCGCAAGGGAACGCAAATTAAAGGAGATCTCAAGGACTAAGTGACCGTGACCTTCAAGCCCCGAGCCTTGCTCAGGGGGCCAAGGCTCAGGACCACTTCCTTTACGGCTGCAGTTTCGTAAGTTTTACTCAAACTCGGGGCGCAGCCAGCAGCTAGCGTCTCCTTTGCGCACTGTGCCCTGCCAAAGTCCGCCTGGCATTTGGTGGTGTGTGTGTGTCTCAGAATTTAAATGGAGCTACGATGTAAATAGTCGACTTGAAAAGAACACCAACGGGGCTGCCAGAAAGGGAGCACTTGTTTGGCGAAAACAAAGATAGATATTAGCAATCTTTTGTCCATTCCCTTGCCCAGTATTTTTCAAGCTTGGGGAGTCCATCGCACTAGCACGTTAGCGTGGTTGGCTTGGTCAACTCGCTTGAAATGGAAACGATGTTGCCCACTCCACATCTTACATTTGTTTTTCTACAGCCGAGGCCAAACTAATGCTGAGCTTGCTGGGTGGACGCGAAGAGGCCTCGATGGGAGGGGAAGATGGCGAACTCGGGTTCTCCAGCAGCTTCAAAAGGTATGGGTATGCCGGGATGCTACCTCTAGGCTTCGGATGGTTCCACGTGACTCTGTCTCTTTTGTTCCGAACCAGCTGGGGTTGTTACACGCATCGTTACATACCCAACCCCAGCTCGGGTGCAGCGACCCCCCTTTTCGTGGTTACTCAGCTTGTGCTGAGCGGCGACCTTCAAATCGGAGCCGGAGAAATGCACATTTGTTGTTCTATGCTACTAGTAGTCGCGTACTGAAGAGTTGCGATTTTCGAGCTGTCCGTAGCAATTGCCTCAGTTACATAGCTCCGCAACAAGATTCGTGACATGCCGCGCCTTGCAAAACAGCTCAAAACAACTCAGATTCGACCACCTCCTGTTGAAGGGGCGAAGTGCTCCTTCTTTTCAGCTTGGTCACAGGTCAGCAATGGTGTAACGTACATGTGCTGTACTAGTGCCCGGGGCTAGAGGATTTGCCACAGGGCGTCTTGACCCAGGCTCCACTGGCTACGCAAAAACTGCTGGTTTGAATTGGCAAAGGTGAAGTCCGTTCGGGGTACAGGAGATTAGTTTTGAGGACAGAATACTGTTGAACATCCATGCGCGGAGGGGATCCCTCTTAATTTGAGTGATTGCCAAAATCGTCATTCGTGAGTGCAAAAGTGGCGTTTGTTTCAGAATCAGGGGCGCCTCCATATCCATCCAACAAGATCTTTTCTGAGACAGGCCGGCAATGACTCAATCACGAGTTGCAACATGGCGCAACATGGCGCAACATTTGTTGGGATGTGTTCAGGATTTCCAAGAAGCACCTTTCATCCAAGAAGCACCTTTCAGATCTTTGATTCCACAAAGCGAAGCTCGCGATCTGGGCTGCAAATGGATGGCCAATCCTAATCCGGATTGTTCAGCCACAAAGACAACCCCTTTTGTAGCCGCATCTCCCAGATTGGTGTGAACTTTCAGGGCCTCGCAAGTTTGATTCCAACAATGAGGCCTGGTCAATTTGCGTTTGGGCCGGAGGCCTTTGCACTTGGCTGCCCGGATGGCGAGGGGAGGTGGAAGTGGAAGTTCCAATGCCGCGTGTCCTCGCGAAGCGACCCAGGATCAGTGGGTGTAAAGATGTCGACCGGAAACGCGCTGGTCTCAGCCCTCGAGTGGCGATTTGTTTGTCGTTGGTGCACAAGCGTCAGATGTATATGTTTGTGGTGGTGGGCGTGTGTGTGTGTGTGCTGTGTGCGTGTGTGCGTGTGTGCGTGTGTGCGTGTGTGCGTGTGTGCGCGTGTGCGCGTGTGCGCGTGTGCGCGTGTGTGCGCGTGTGCGCAGGTGTGTGCGCAGGTGTGTGCGCGGGTGTGTGCGTGTGTGCGTGTGTGCGTGTGTGCGTGTGTGCGTGTGTGTGGTAGCAGCATGTATGGGCGAATGTGTGTGCGTGTGATATTGTTATAGCAAGGTTGAAACCACGCTAACCTCACTTTCTTGCGGACCTCCAAAATAATTTGAGTAAAATGATTCCACGGGGGGAGACTAGCAGTACTTGATAGTGTGTTTCATCTACTACGCCATTGGGCAGAACCATACTCAAAAGACCAGCTGCCTGGCTTGGCGTCAATTTTGGTGGTCATGGAATCCAGAACAAGGTCTTAGGATCCTGTTTGAAACAGCCACGATCACAATCCGACCAGGGGGCTTTGATCATGGCAAGTATGTGCTAGAATTCGTAGTTTCCGCTCAAAGAACACGAAGGCCCCAGCGAATGAGCGGATGATGCTACAGTGCCAGATAGGCTTGCTGCGAGTCATGGGAAATGGTTATGGAAGCCTGTTCAAACAGAACATATACTTGGCGAGTGTTTTCTTTTTGTCAGAACCAGTTTGCTTCCAAGCATGCCAGGGTTTGGATTGATCTTGCGAGCCCATAGCTTGTTTGTCGTGGCAAAACATGGCGACTGTCCTAACTGCCAAGACCAGGCTCACCTGGAGAACTGTTCAACAACGCACTGCCAGTGGAATTTTGGCAGAGAAACATTGTGCAAGGCACGTCAACAGCACAACAAGTTCCTTGGCTTTCACAAGCTTTTGGAGTGCTTCGCCTGCAACACGCCTGGTTTCCTGCACAGCACCGGTTTCGTTTCGATGATGACTCGTGTTGCCTCATCGAGTTCAAGACAGTTGTCAGTGCCTGAAAAAGCCCCCTACCCCCACCCATTGACTGATTGAGTTCTTCCTGTCCTTGACCTGGTGGAGCTGATTTTGCGAGCGGTAAGCTGATGAGGCCTTTCAATCTTATTCTGGCTACGGGAAGAGAAACCCCTGGAGGATTGGACATGCGTTATTGAGCACTTCAATCTTTGAAGCACTGACTTTTCAGACCTCCAGGCTGTTTCCTATCGGTGTCCGAAAGCAGCCCACTGGTCCAGGGTGTTGCTTCTGCAGCTTGTTTGGCTAGCCA